GTGCTCCTGCTCGGCGCGCTCGGTCGTGCAGGCGTGTCCCCCGCGCGCGTCTCGCGCGCGGGTGCCACCCCCCGCCCCGCTTCGCTCCTGCTCCGTGGACGCTCCTCCTGTTCCTCCTCGCTCCTCGCACGCGTGGCGTTATCCGCCCTCTCCTCCTCTCTTCTTCTTCCTCTTATTCTTCTTACTCTTCTTGTTCCTCTTCTTTTTCCTCTTATCTTTCCTCATCTTCTTCCTCCTCTTTTTCTCCTTCTTCTTCTTATTACTATTGTTATCCTTCTTCCTCTGAATATTGTTATGCTCCTTTGCCTCCTCCCTCCTACAGTCACAGCTATAACATAAGGTCTGCTCTGGTTTCGAAGGGGGCTCGATGGTCCTTGGGTCCATGCATAGGCCGCCCTTTGGCAGGAGGACATCTGGCCGCACTCCCCCTCATGCTCTGTTCGGCCGGTGCAGTGTTTCACCGCTTCTGCCGATGGCTGCGCGAGTTTGATCTGTTTGCCCGCACTCGAAGAAGACAACCTGCGTGCACATGAGCTTTCGGAGGTCCGCGCGGACCTCTGACATTTTTTAGGCATCTGTCGCTCCTTGCTCCTCTGCGCATGCCAGACGGCGTGGAAAGTCGGGACGCTGAAGAAGGAATCCTTCTCGTTGGGGAGGGGCTCGGTGTTTCTCGATTGTCTTATAGTTTGCCTGGGGTTTTCCTGAGGTTTTCCATGGGACATCCAAGTGTAACTTATGGGAACAAAGGGGCCTCGTTCCCTGTGTGGGGCTCCTTGGGTCAACGCCTCGACCGTACTTCCTCCGTTCCGGTCCACGGAGTGTGGTTCACGCTGGGCCTCGGGCCCACGGGCGCCGCCCGGGTGGGTTTGGAAGCAGTCGTTTCTCGGGGTGGTACAGGCTGAGGACGGGCCGCGCCCGAGCGGTCTGCCTTCGGACGCCCGCGGTGCCCGAGGCGTCCCGCCAGTTCTCGGAGCTTCCCGATTCTTTGGGCTGCCCCGACCTGTCGTCCCGAGGCCTTCTCTTCTAAACGGGAGCATGTTGCAAGACATCAGAATGCAGCAATGCTAGGCACAGACACTCAATCACAAGAAACAGTGTTGTACCATTGCGATGGGGGCCACGATGGGGGTCACGATGGGGGGCCACGGTGGAGGGCCACGATGGGGGGACCGGGAGAGGGATTGGGGTACAGATAGGGGTATGGATGGGGCCATAGGGCCAGGGGTATAGTGGTAAAACGGATGGGGATGGAGGGAGGCGGACAGGGATACGGATAGGGATGAGGATAAGGGCGGCAATGGGAGGCCGCGGGAGGCAACGGGAGGCCACAGAAGCCCATGAGAGCTATCGGGGGGCAACGCGAGACCATGCGAGGCAACAGGTCGGCCGACCGTTTCGGGATTCTTCAACGCACCGACTACTTTGTTCTGCAACGCCATCCCAGCCTCACAGATCAGCCATCAAACATAGAACACCTCAGATCCACATTTTTTTGCAGCCGTCAAGCATAGAAAACCGATCTAAACTTCGCTGCGATGTGAGTTTCAGTCTGAATGGAATAAGAATGCTGACCTGAAATAATGGGTGTTTCAAAGATACCAAAGCCCCACCATTCTATTCTTCCTAAGGCATTTCACAAAGTCTGCGTAAAATCAAGCTCCACAGGGTGTTCTTTCTTTCGTCGCTGACTATCCCACGTCTTATCCCTTTGCATAGACTTCACTAGATCGGAGATAGGGCCCGCGGGGATCTCGTGCATCGTTTCATGCACGTCGTACACTAGAAGAGGAATTTCCTACCTCAATGTAGTATTGATAAACTTGGAACGACACAGAGAATATTAGCATGGCCCCTGCGCAAGGACGACACGCACACATCGAGAAGTGTATCCATTTTTCCCAAGAAAAAATCTACCTCAATGTAGTATTAGTTTCTCCTGCCATTTATGATCTTCAGAGCACGGGGCAGAAATCGCATTGCGTCGTAGTGCCAGTGCCCGTACGCCCTGGTAATCCTACAGGCGGGCTGAATGCTTGCCCCGACTGGGATTTCCAGCGCATTTCTTTCTGCACTGGGAACTCGCCGAAAACTGCATCAGGAAACTTACTATACCAGAACAACACCTTGTTTTTGTTTTACCCTTTGTAATGCTTGAATGTTGTTATTCCTGGTTAGAATCAGCGTCGCACCGACATGCGAATACTATCTGTGTGTCTGCACCCCAGAGGTGACGCGCGCGCGCCGAACAATCTTGCAGGACAAGCTCCGAGTCGGGCTTTCTGGTTTAACCGCTCGGGAAGCAGTCTTTTACAAGTTGGCTGTGGTATATGTTCGGTTCGGGCGCACGCCTCCAAAGAGGACACAGTACTAACACGTCTGCGTGCATCCCATGCATAGGCCTGGTCTACCAGGGACGATCAACCGATACATCCTCGTCCAGAGTTGTCCTCCGGAGGCGCGCCGCTGGCCCCCCAAGACGGCTCAAGGGGTGCGCACTTCGGCGCAAGCCCTCGCACACTTTGTTCCCTATGGCCCCCCGAAGGCCCTCAGGGGGGTCTCGGGCTTTCGGAGGCCTGGGAGGGGGAGTGTTCGAGAATCCCCCGATCTGAAGGCACCTCGCTGGTTCTTGGGGGCCCTCCTGGGGGAGACTGGGGGCTTCGGGTGGCCGTCTCGAGGCCCTGTCGGGCCGTTGTCACTGAATAGGCCTCGGGAGGGGCACATACAGTCAATGCGCTGAAAGAAGGACCACTTTCGGCTCAGGAGGGTCTCTGCTTTGTGGCCGTTCCTCATATCTAGGCTGGGGAACCTGTGATGGTGGCCTGCTTGGCTCCAACAAAAGTTTCCGTGGACAGTCTCACGCGGAAGTATTCGCAAGAGCACGCAATGACCTCCTCCCTCCTCTCTCCTCCCTCGCCCTGTCTCCTTTCCAGGCGATGCTGAGATGACCCCGAGGCCCAATCTGATGCCAACATGGCCTATTGAGAGTCTCAGGTCGGCTATGTGGTGACCCAGCTGATGAGCAGTGGGCGATGCCGAAATTACCCGATAGCCAGATGATGGAACTAGGCACGCTGAAGGCGACTTCAAAGTGACCCAGCGACGATCGACCGATCCAAATATGACCAGGCGTGCTCTCAAAATGACTTGGCGACGATGCCCAAATGCGCCCAGCACCGTTCGCAAGAAGCTAAGACGGCTCTGCGACCTGCATATCATGTCAAGCTGATCTCAAGATGGCCCAACATGGCTTCAAGAGATTCTGACGAGGGCTCCTCGGCGATCAGACGATTGCCTCAATACGGCCCCAACGCAGCAGGAGTCCTGCAACGGCCCGGGGTTTTGGTTTAATTCATTGTTAGTGGGTGGGACTTCCGGGGCGGGATATTTGAACAACGGGGATCTTGGGTTTACCATTTTTTTAACGGGTGGGATCCTGACGTGGCTGAACTAAACTTGTCACATTATAGGGGGCTAAGCTAGGCGGGATCCGCCCGACACCCGCAAGAAGATTACCCTGCTAGGCTTCTACGGGGGCGATGGGGGGCTCGGCAGGCGCAACGTTACCTCCGCCAGCTTCCGCCGCCCTCCTTCACTTCCGCCGCCGTCTGCGAAGCGAGAGCCATCATGAGATCCAGGGGGCTTTCATTGGGCCGATGCAGGCTCGCCGTGGGTTCCTTGCTGTCGCGCGAGGGCTGTGCACATCTGCTGCCTCTGGCCAGGCCCGTCCTTGGCCCAGGAGCGGCGCATATGCCCCCCCCCCCCCCGACCACGACAGGAGGGCGTGCACACCGTTCCTGGGCCCGGGGGCGAGCCTGGCCAGGATCCGTGAATAGATGTAGACACAGGACGAAGAGGAGGCGGAGGAGGCGGAGGAGGCGGAGGAGGCGGAGGAGGAGGAGGAGGAGGAGGAGGAGGAGGAGGAGGAGGAGGAGGAGGAGGAGGAGGAGGAGGAGGAGGAGAGGAGGACCCCTCCCCCTCCAACTTATGGTGGTGGTGGTGGTGGAAAACAGGCCCATCACAATTTTCTATCCTCGACGAGGGGTGTGCAGATCTCGGCGCCCCATCGGGCGAGGCAGCGTCCTCGTCTTGCGTTCGCTCGTTCCCCGCCCTCTCTGCGCGCGCGCGGGGGACGAGGTCTGGGAGCCTGCTGGCGGCCCAGGCTCGCCGTGGCCAGCAGAGCCCCATTCGCTCCTCCAGAGCTCTTCCTCGCGGCACGGCGGCCCCGCGGTGCCCTGCGAACCGCAGAGGGGCCGACGAAGACTGCCGACGACCGCCAGAAGACCGCCCGAAGACCGCCCGAAAACCGCCGGAAGACCGCCCGAAGACCGCCCAGGGCTTGGAATGCTTGACGCCTTTGCGTTCGTTCGCTCCCCGCGGCGACCCCCTCGCGCGCGGCGCCCCCGCCGCCGATCGCCCCCTGGAGGCCTCCCGGGGGCGCTCTGGGGGGCTTCCGGGGGCCGCCTCGAGGACCTCTCGGGCCGTCGTCCCTAAGAGGCCTCGGGAGGGGCAAGCACAGCCAGCACGCCGAGCCAAGGATTGCTCTCAGCCCAGGAGAGCTTTTCCGGCCGCTCCTCAGAGCTGGGCAGGGGGACGTGTCATAGTGGCCCAGGGTCGCCGTGGCCAGAAGACAGCCCCCCCGCTCCTGAGGAGGCAGAGTTCGCGTAATACGAGTCATTGCCAGTTTGGGCGGGCCCCCTTCCTTCTTTTTCGTTCTTTGTCGTCCAGGGTTTTTGCATCGTCCCGGGGGGCCTGGTTGACTGTGTGAGGCCGCGTGCGAGTGGCAGCCGGCCGGAGCGACGTGGTGCTCTTGCGTGTTCCCTGACCTCCCCTTTACCCCCCCCCCCCCCAAAAGAGAGAGAGAGAGAGAGAGAGAGGTTTTTTCTTTCGTCGGGATGCGAGTCCTTGCAGCTCTCGTCTTGCCTTCGCTCCTTCCCCGCGGCGCTCCCTTCGCGCGGCGCGCCCCCCCGGCGGCGCTTTGCCCCCCTCCCCCCCCCCACGAGGCGTGCCGCGGCCCTCGCCGGCACCCGCCGTGGGCGGCGGCGGCCTCTTCGGGAGGGGGGTGGGCTGGGGCGCGCGCGCCGCCGCCGCCCCCGAGATTCACCAGATAATAGCATAAGGAACAAAAAACGCATAAACTTTAATTCGCAGCCTCCAGAGCCGCCGGCCCTCAGCGATTCTCGATCGCCCTCGCCCGAATTCCCCTCGTCCTGGCTTCGTCTTACGTTTTTTTTGCCGGGGGATTTTTGGTTATGTGTATGTGTATATTTATATGTATATGTTTATGTATGTGTATATGTATGTGTATTCTCATACGCACCTCTCCGAGGAAGTAGAGCTCAGAGCCGATTAATTGAAGGCGGCGTCCGCGATTTTTCTGGCCGTTTCGCTAGGGACATCCTCGAAATTCTGAAATCGGTGGCACCCCTCACGCAGATCGTGACGTCAGGGTCCAAAAACACATGGGAATTTCAACATTCTAACATAAAACCTTCGAAAACATATTGTAATTTCCATAATTTTGACCCCGATTCTCAGAGAATGGCGATTTCGCCTGAGACATCCTCCCAAAATCGAGCCCCGACGTACCTTCTGGTACCCCAGACCCCGCCTCGGAGCCTCTTGGGAGCCTCCTGGAACCTCCCGGGGCCTCATGGGGCTGTACCTTCTGGTACCCCAGACCCCGCCTCGGAGCCTCTTGGGGGTCTCCTGGAACCTCCTGGGGCCTCCGCGGCCTCCTGGAGCCTCTGGTGGCCTCCTGGAGCCTCCTGGGGTCTTCTGGGGCCTCCTGAGGCCGCCTGGGGCCTCCTGGGGCCTCCTGGGACCTCAGAACTACATGCACACACAGAGACACAAATCACACCCAACACATCACACGCCAGACAAACATAACACACACAACACCTATAACGCACAGAAACACGCACAACACAGAGCACACACATCACACACAACACTGACAGTCCCGGGGCCTCCTGGAGCCTCTTCCCGTATCCAAATCGGGCCTCCTGAGGTTTCCCGGGGGGCCCTGGTACACACATCGCAAGGTGTGGCAACCCCACTTGCGCTCGAGTGCGACCTCGATCTTAGATTCTTCTGCGTTCACCTCCTGCCCCTTCCCCTTCTCTTAGGTACGCCCTGGCGGCGCCGCCCCAGCTTCCCCTTCTTCATTTCCGATCCTGCAGTCATGGTGTCTTCCTGCTTCAAACGCCCTTTCAGTTTTTTGTATGAACCTGGGCACACGTGCCACTTGTATGTATATGTATATGTGTATGTATGATTATATGTATATGTATGCGTGTATGTATTTGTCTATGTACAGATATTTACATATGCTTGTGTATATGTATTATGTATATGCATGTATATTTATATTTGTATATATGTATAATTATATGTTTGTACATCTGTATATATGTATATATGTACATGTATTTTCACATACAAGTATATGTATATGTATATGTATATGAATGTGTATATCTATATATATATATATATATATATTTATGCTTGTGTTTATGTGTATGTATATGCATATGTCTATGCCAATGCAACTGCCTATGTGTATGTGTATGTCTATGTCTATGCCTATGTCTATGTCTATGCCTATCCTATGCCTATGTATGTATGTGTGTATGTATGTATGTATGTATGTATGTATGTATGTATGTATGTATGTATGTATGTATGTATGTATACACACACATATATATGTATATGTATATGCATATGCATAGGTGCATGTACATGTATATGTATATGTATTTGTATACGTATATGTGTACATACGTATATGTATATAGTTATATTTGTAATTGTATTTGTAGATGTATTTGTATGTGTATATGTAGGTGCATATGCATATGCATATGTTTATATATATATATGTACATGTATACGTATGTGTATAGGTGTAGGTATGTGTATGTGTATATGTAAATGCATATGTATATGTATGCGTATATGTATGTGCATGTGTGTATGCGTATATGTATAGGTGTATATATATGTGTATGTATGTGCATATGTATATGTAATATATACGTGTATGCATATGCATATGTATATTTACATATTTTCACGTACACCCACACATATATACATATATATATATGTATATATATATATATATGTGTGTGCATCTCTATATATATATATATATATTAATATATATACATATATGCGTTGTGTTTGTACGTAAATCCTTGGCACGTTTCGGTTTAGGCCGCCCTGTGTTGCAGTATCCAGGCGCAAGCACTGTCATCCAGGTCTCTCCGCAACCGCGGTGGCTCAAAGCAAAGATGGGCGGCTTGCCCCGGCCGGATGGCTGGGAACGCCGCCATGCGAGTGCTGGAGTGGGCTGGCGGGGTCACGGGGGCCCGTCGAGCCCGCCGGTGCCCGACTGTCGGTGCGCGGCGTGCGCGGCGTGCCCGCCGCCAGCGGCCTGCGCCCCCTGCCCGGCGTGCCCGGGCTGGCCAGGGGGCGTCGCGGCCCCGCCCTCGCCGGCGTGGCCGCCAGCGGAGGAGCGCCCCGCGCCGCCGGAGGGCGAGCGCGCGGGGCCCTCAGGGCTGGCCCCTGTTTGGGGCCTGTGGGCGGCGCTGGCGCTCGGAGTGTTCGTCGGGGTGGCGCTGGCGGCGGTGTTGCAGGTGACCTGGAGCGGCTCGAGGTGCTGCGTGAAGCGGGCGACGAGCCGTAGTGATGGCGCCAGACCCTAGGGTGAAGGAGCGGGTGTTCGTGCTGTACGCAGACTGCGAGCGTTGGTGGCACCAGGAGCTGATCCTCGGCCAGGTGGGGTTGTCGGATTCTATTTTCGTGATCCTCAGCCCGGACGGGGACGCCCACGCGGAGGACTACGGTGACGACAGCGTGGGCGTGGCCGGGGTCAGGTGCTCGGCGGCCTGGGCGGTGGTGCCGGCCGGGGTTCCCCCTGGCCGCGTCTGCCGCTTCCACCAGGGGGCGGCGCTGGGCGCGGCGGCCGCGCCGGCGCGGGCCGCGTTGAGGCCGCGACGGCGCTGCGCTCAGGTACGGCGACGTCGAGGACCACGCGAGGAGCGCCTGGGCCGTCGGCAGCCGCGACTTCTACGTGCTGTTCCACGGGAGCGGGGTCTTCGTGTAGCGCGCGGGCCCCGCGGACGAGGCCCCCTTAAACCGCGGCGCCGCCATGGACGCTCGGATGACCCCGACCCGGCGCAGCCGTCAAGACCGACGGGAGCGCGCGAGGGCGGAGATGACGGCGCCCATCGAGTGGGGGAATTTCGGGAGCGACTTGGAGCTCCTGGGGCCACGCTCCGGCCTGTGGTGCATTGAGTTCAGCGGACAGGAGGGCAGCGGCCTCCTGGGACACTACGATTGTTGCAAGACTGCCTGCCGGCTGGACTGGCACTCGCGGGCCGTCTCCGAGCACTTCGACATCGCCCGGGTGCTCGCCCAGGGGGGGGTGGTCGACCAGCTCGACGGGGGCAACCTCTGCCTGGTCGAGTGCCAGCTTCGGCGGCCCCAGACCATCGAGTTCGGGTACTTGGAGCGTGCGCGGGTGGTCGAGGCCAATAAGTACCAGGGAAGATGTTCTTGGATGAGCAGCGGCCTTCGCCCGGACGACGGGGGCCTCGGCCGCGCTTGCGATCTGCCTTGAGCCGCGGGACCACGTGCGAAGCGACGTTGGGGGGGGGGGCGACGTTGGGCCAGAGCCTGGGAGATGGACGAGGGCGCTCCGCAAGGGGCCCGAGGGGCAATGGCGCCCTCGTCGCGCCGGTCGGGCCCATCATGCCTGCATGGGGCGGGGCCCGACCGCCTTCCCTGCCTCGGGCCTGCTGCCGCGGCTGGCCGAAGTTTTGACGCTGGTGATGGTCGAGCTGTTCCCCGCGAGATCTTTCCGTTGCCCCGCGGGGCCGTCGGCCCCTTCTCGGGCGGGGGGGTGGCGTCGGCCGGTCAGTGCGGCAGAGGGTCGGCGCCCGTGCTGCCGTGGAGCTGGACTGCGACAGGACCGCGCAGAGCCTCAATGGGATGTTCTGCCGCGCCTGGCAGCCGGGGCTTGGGCAGGGCGCTCCGCGTTCGGGTTTCGTCGCGCGCGCGCAGCGCGAGGCCGTCGGCTTCATCGAGGAGTCGGTGCGAGCTCGGGGGTGTGGGGGGGCCTCCCCCAGGACTCACTCCCGCAGAGGCTCTTCGGAAGCTTCGCGTGGCGAGCTGGTGCGACGTGGGATCTGCCGAGCACGGATCCTACCGCCCCGGCGCGATCTCACTGCCCTCGGGCTCGGTTCGACTGGTTGCGCTCGAGGTGCTGTGGGGGGGGCGGCGGGAGTGGCGGCGTGGGGGATTTCATCGCCCAGCATTTGCTGTGCTCCGAGAGGGCGAAGCAGCGGCTGCGGGGCGCGGGGCTGGAGCGGGCTTACTCTGATCCAGCGCCGCGGCGTCGTTGCGCGGGAGGGGCCTCGTCGACTTCGCCGAGTCCGGCGTGGTGTTGGTGGAGGCCTTCTTTGTGGAGAAGAAGGATCACCGACTGCGCGTGGTGATTGACTGCAGGCGGGCCAGCGCCTGGTTCTCGGAGCCCGCGGGGGTGGGCCTCTGCACGTGGGGCGCCCTCTCCCGCCTCGAGCTCGGGCTGGGCGACGAGTTGCGCATCCCGGGCGCCGACCTGAGCGACTCCTTCAACCGCGTGAGCCTGCCCGAGCCTCAGGCCAGCGGTGGCGTGCGCGGTAGGGGTGGCGCGCCTCGGCGGGAAGCCTCTCGCCCGCGGCGGCATGGTCATTCCCCGCTTGGCTGTGCTCCCGATGGGGCGGAGCTGGGCGCTCGGGTGGCGCCGGCGCGTCCGCGAGCGGATCGCCGTCGAGGCCGGCGCCGCCCGTGAGCGGCGAATCGTGGACAGGCGGGCCCCCCCGTCGCTCGCGCCGGGCGGCCGCCTGGAGTGCGTGGACAACTTCGTCGCCATCGGCGCGGACAAGGGGTGGGTGTGCAGCGTCGTCGACGGTGCCGTCAACGCGCTGCGCTCGCGCGGGCTGGAGGTGAAGACGGAGGGCCACGCCGGTGAGGTGCGCCATGGGTCGGAGGCGCTGGGGTGGTGCATCGACCGACGTCGGGGCGCGGTGCGCCCCGCGCGCGTTCGGCTCTGGCGCGCCCGCCTCGCCGTGCGCGGTGCCCTTCTCCATGGGCGGCTGCGGGGCCGCGATCTCGAGAAGCTGCAGGGCCACCTGTTCTTCATCTCGCTGATCAAGCGGGAAGCGGCTCGTGCGCCTTCGCCCACAAGTGCTGCGACGCCGAGACGGCGATGTGGCCGACCGTGCGCCGGGAGCTGGAGTATTGGGACGGCGTCGCGCCCTTGCTCTGGCGCGACCTCAAGGCGCCGTGGACGGACGGGCCCGTCGTAGTGGACACCAGCGAGTGGGGCATCGGGGCCTGCGTCGCTCCTGCTCCCACCGCGCTGGTGCAGCGGCTTGGGCGCGTCTGCGAGCGGTGGCGGTGGCGCCGTGGCTTGGCCGGCGCCGCTCCGCGACGGCGCGCGGGGGCCGCGGCCGCCGCGGCGGCGCTGGCGGGGGGCCCCGCCGACGCGGCCCCCTGAATGCTGGGCGCCAGGCCCGCCGACGGGAGGCGGCGGAGCTGGAGGCCAGGACTCCGTTGGCGACGCCGTCGAAGTGCCGCCCGAGGTCATCTCGCTGCCGTGGCGGACCGTGGGTCGCCACCGCTGGCGGTGGCCGGAAGAGCCGAAGAGGGCATGCCCGTGGCCGAGGCGAGGGAGGTGTTGCACGGCATCCAGCACTTGGCGAGGGCCTCCCGACATCGGCCGGCGCGTCGTTGTGCTGGGTGATTTCCTGAGCGCGGCAGGCGCTGTCGATCGGTTTCGGAATGGTTCCTACAAGATGCTGCGCATCACCCATGCCGTCACTGCTGTCTCCCTCGTCGCCGCCACCGCGCTTCACTACCGATGGCTACCGTCGGAGTGGAACGCGGCCGACAACCCGTCGAGGGGCAGGTTCGCGCCCTCGGCGCCGCAGCATCTTCGGGCCGCGGAGCAGGCTGCAGCGCGCCCAGGCGCTGGCGGCCCAGCCGGGCGCCCAGGGGGCGGCCGCGACGCTGGGCCGGCGTGTGTCCAGGCCTTCGCGGACCTGGGGGCCGCCGGCCGCCGGGGGCGCCCCCGCGGCCCAGCTGGCCCGCCCTGCGGGCGGGTGGCCGCGGCGCGAGGCGCCGGCGGCGCGCGGCCCGCTGCGCTGGCCGACGGCCCCCTGCCCGGGGGGCCCAGCGGGCAACGGGCGGCGGCGGGTGGGGCCCGCCGCGGCCGCTGCCGGGCGCCGACGGGCTCAGGCGGCCCAGCTGCCAGGCCTCAGCGTGCTCGAGACGGGGTCGGTCGCGGCGGCGACGCGGGCGCAGTACCTGGATGCCCTCGACTCGTTGACGGCCTGGCTGGGGGCGAGGGGCGAGTGCCCGTCGAGCCCCGACGACCGCGACGGGCTGTTGATCCTGCGCCTGCGCGAGCGCTACCTGGGCGGCGAGGGGGCCCGGGCAGCGCAGAAGCTGTTCGCGTCGGTGCTCTGCAGCTCGGCTGACCAAGGCGGCCAGCTCGCCGATGGCCCGTGCGCGGCGCGCGCTACGCGGGTCCCAGCGGCTGGCGCCGCCGACGTCGCGGCCCCCTCCTCCCTTCCAGCTGCCGGCGGGCTTGGTGAACTGCCTCGTGCGCGGCAGGAAGCGGGGGGAGGCGCGGGTGCTGTGGCGCGGCTTCGATTCGAGCTGTGCCTGCGGCCGGGCGAGTCGCGCCGCGTCCGGACCGCCGAGCTCGCGCGCCCGGTCTGTGGCCGCCTGGGCCCCGACAGCTGGGGCGTCACGCCGCGCGCGGGCGGGGTGGAGGCGCTGCCGAAGACCGCCGAGTGCGACCAGGCGCTGAAGCTGGACCTTCCGCGGCCGGAGCCGTGGGGGCCCACGCTGGATCTGCGCCTCGTGGCCGCGAGGCTGGGGGCCGACTGGTGGCGCCCCGCCGCGGGGATCGCGCGGCGGCGCCGTGGGCGCCCGCGGGGGCGTGCGCTCGCCAGAGCCGTCGCTCTTCGAGGTGACGCAGCTGCTGATGTCTTCGGCCCTCCGCGACGCCGCCAGGACACTGATGACGGACCGCTGCCTGCCCAGCCTCTACCCGTGCATGCTGCGGCACGGGGTCGCGCCTCGCGACTCTGGCAGCAAGGCGAGGCCCCTCGTCGTCGTCCAGCCCAGAGACCGGTGGCAGTCGTGGCATTCGGCCCGACGATGCGTCAAAGGAGCTCGGCTGTCCCAGGTGCGGCAGATGGCGCCCGTGGCGATGCAGGGCCACGCAGCGCGGTGCGCCGGCTCTCTCGGCAAGATCGTGTCTGGCCGGCGCTGCCCATGTACGCCTCCCTGAAGGCCTGTTTCTTCCTGAAGGTGTTCAGCGGCTCTGGCCGGCTGGGGCGCGCCCTCGCCGCCGAGGGGCTGCCGGCCCTGCTCTGGGGCATCTGCCTCGGCCCCGACTATGACCTGCTGGAGCCCGCCCAGCGCGCCCTCGTCCGAAGCTGGGTGCGCGGCGGGCTGGTCCTGGGCATCCACCTCGGGGTTCCTTCGAACTCGTGGGGCCGAGCGCGGGGCATTCCGCCTGGCCCCGGGCCGCTTCGCAGCGACGCGCTTCCCCATCGGCCTGTCCGACCTGCGCCCCGAAGATCAAGCCGAGGTCGATGCAGGACATGTGTTCGCGTCTTGTCCATGGCGCCCTCAGGGCCCACTTCCCTGCCAGCATCGAGCCCTCAAACCAGCGGGCTCTGGATCGCACCTCGCTGCGTCCGTCTGTTGCGTGCGGCTGATGTCTCGCTCGCAGTCGCTCACTTTTGCCAGTGGGGGGCGCCGTGGCGGGGGGGGCGCCGTGGCGGAAAGCCCCGGCGCTCTTCGCCGCCGGCCGCGGCATGGGCCGCATCGGCCGCGCCCTCTGTGCATCGTCCAAGAGGGGTATTTTCTCGCGCGCGAATATGCCTCTCAGCTGCATGGGGATAATGCCGACAGAATCTTTAAGGCAAAGCTCGCCGAGGCTTGCCCTCCGCGACTGTGTCGCGCCCTCGCCCAAGCATGCAGTAAGGCACATGTATCACGCAAGTCTCGCATCTTTGAGCGGCTGTTGTTACCAGCCAGTTGACATCTTCGTGTGTGTGTGTGTGTGTGTGTGTGTGTGTGTGTGTGTGTGTGTGTGTTGGGGGATTGCACGTCGTCGGGGCCTTTCAGTTCGTGCGTTCCTCGGCCCGAGACGGCCCTCAGTTTGCAGTGCTGCTGATTCGTCACGCCGTCGCACCTCGCTAATGAGAATAAGGATGCCTTTCGATGTGTTGTACTTGTACGAGAATCCTTGGCACGTTTCGGTTTAGGCCGCCCTGTGTTGCAGTATCCAGGCGCAAGCGCTGTCATCCAGGTCTCTCCGCAACCGCGGTGGCTCAAAGCAACCGCCATCCATCCCCGACCACCGCCCTGTTTCTCCTTTTTGCCTTCTCGGCTGCCTGACTGCAGCCGTTGACGGGGGATTGCACGTCGTGGGAGCCTCTCAGTTCGTGCGTTCCTCGGTCCGAGACGGCCTTCAGTTTGCAGAGCTGCTGACTCGTCAATATTTGTATATATTTGTGTATATATATATGTATATGTATATGTATATGTATATGTATATGTATATGTATATGTATATGTATATGTATATATATATATATATATATATGTATGTATATATACATATATACAGATGTACGTGTATATGTAGATATGTGTGTGGATATATATGTATTAACATAAGCACAACATCAGAAGAGGAAACAACAACGCCACCACTGGTACCAGCGGGGCCACTTCCAGCGAGGTTGGGTTCCGCGCCTGCGGCATCTTGGTCCCGCCAGACTTGCGAAGGGGCCCCGCCGAACCGAAATCTGGTGCTCCGTCTTCCCAAAGCTCGAGTGTCTCCTGTCGCAGGCGAACGAGAGGAGCCGCGCAAACCCAAACTTTCGGAGGTCCGAGCGGGTTTTTTCGGTAGCAAGTCATGGGGGCCTGGCGTACCCTTTTAATTTTGTCCTTAACGTTGATTAGCGCCGATCAGCGTCTGGGAGTTGATGATATAGCGCCGACTTAGCGTCTGTGAGCCTCGATTTGCGTCGATGTGCCGTCGATTAACGTCGATTTAGCGTCGACTAACGCCGATCCGGAAGAGACGACAAGATTGTGTGTGGGAGCCTCGCGTGAGTTGCCACCGAAGATTTCCTGTGTCGGCGTTGGGCCCCCTCGGCGGCGCTTCCGGCGTCGCCCTTGGCGCGCTGCGCACGCGTCCGGGAGGGGGGTCCGGCTCCGGCCCAGGAGCCCTCCGCGGCTTCCGACGTGTATGATGGGTGTGGAGGTTTCAGTTGCGATGTTTCCACTGTGCGTGAAGGCATCTCACTGCACCGCACCAGGCGGGCCGGTGTGGCGGGCTGGCGTTCTGAGTGAGGTGTCCTTGCGTGTGTCCGTGGGCTTTCGCGGGTTCCCGGGGGCTTTGGGGCGTTCTGGGGAGCTCCTCCCCTTCGGCCAGAGGGCTCCACAGGGGGTTTTCGGGATGGGGTTTTCCAGAGGACCCCCTAAGGGCCGCGGAACCTCATCAAAACAGATGGTGCGAAACCCCTAGGGGACCCCTCCTGGAAAACCCCCTCCCCAAAAAGCCCCTTAGGAACCTTCTGGCTTGGGGTCCGTGTCGATTTGGTCGATCCTGTTCGACAGCGACTCCGGCGGGTTCGGTCTGACTCGATCCCGATCCCCGATGCTCGTAACGTCGCGCGGCCGATTCCGTGCCGATGCGGCCCGATTCGATGCACGCTGCGATCCGATCCAGTTTCTCGATTCGATGCTGGCTGCTCCTGCGTTTCCGCTTCCCTGGACCCTCGGAAGCCATAGAACCGTCGGAAACAGTCCCCCCTCCTCCCCACCTGAGGGGTGGAGAGGGGGGGATGTGGGAGAGTAGGAGCGAGGGAGAGGACGATGTTTTATTCCTGGCCGCACATAGTTAACCATTGACCGATCGGGTGTCGGCCTCAATCGTGACGCCCCGGCCTCTCTTGAGTAGACTCCACCCGTCGGGACTCTTGAGGTCGACGACGACCGACGACGAAGGTCGACGAAGGGCGATGGGTGACGGCGACGACGCCGGCGACGACGACAACGACGCGGGACGACGACGGCGACAACGACGACGACGACGAGGGACGACGACGACGAGGGATGACGACGACGACGCGCGACGACGCGCGACGACGCGCGACGACGCGCGACGACGCGCGACGCCGACGACGACGACGACGAGGACGACGACGACTACGCCGACGACGACGACGCCGACGCCGACGCCGACGCAGACACCGACGCCGACGCCGACGCCGACGCCGACGCCGACGCCGACGCTTACGCCGACGCCGGCGCCGACGCCGACGCCGACGCCAACGCCGACGTCGACGCCGACGCCGACGCTGACGCCGACGCTGACGCCGACGATGACGACGACGACGACGACGACGACGACGACGGCGTGCGACGGCGCGCGACGACCCGCGGGCGGCGGCAGGGCTCCCGCGGCGCCCGCGGCGCGCGGCGGCGGCGGCCTGTTCGACGACGGCGCTCCAGCCGCGAAGAAGGCGCGGGCCGCCGACCGCCGCGCGTCGTTGGTCGTCGCGCGTCGTCGCGAGTCGTCGTCGCCGTCGCCCGTCGTGGTTGTCTTCGTTGTCGCTCGTCGACCGTGGTCGCCGTCGCCCGTCGTCCGTCGTCGTCGTCGGCATGGTCGACGTCGTCGTCGTCGTCGTCGTCGCCCGTCGTAGTCGTCGTCGTCGTCGTCGTCGCCGTCGCCCGTCGTCGTTCCTCGTCGTCGTCGTCGTCGTCGTCGTCGTCATCGCTCGTCGACCGTTGTCGCCGTCGCCCGTCGTCATCGTCGTCGTCGTCGTCGTCGTCGCCTGTCGTCGTCATCTTCGTCGTCGTCGCTCGTCGACCGTGGCCGTCGTCGCCCGTCGTCGTCGTCGTCGTCGTCGTCGTCGTCGTCGTCGTCGTCGTCGTCGCCCGTCGCTCGTCGCCCGTTGTCGTCGTCTTCGTCGTCGTCGTCGTCGTCGTCGTCGCTCGTTGTCGTCGCCCGTAGACCGTGGTCGTCTGCGCCCGTCGTCGTCGTCGTCGTCGTCGTCGTCGTCGTCGCTCTCCGCACTCTATCGTCGTCGGCGGGAGGAGGCTGAAGTAGACGGTAGCGATCAGCCAGGGAGATCGTTTGCAGCTGATCGAGTACTTCAACGGGCACTGGAGCGACTTTACGTGGGCCAGCTCATATTAGATTAATGACTCGCCAAAGGCGTTTATTTTTACACAAGCCCACCGCAGGTGTCGATTTCTTTGTCGAAGCAACGTGAGTGGGTTGCGGGTTGGTCGCGCGGGGTGCGTCGCGGCATGGGTCGCGGGTGATGCTTGAGGAGGAGGAGGAGGAGGAGGAGGAGGAGGAGGAGGAGGAGGAGGAGGAGGAGGAGGAGGAGGAGGAGGAGGAGGAGGAGGAGGAGGAGGAGGGGAGGAGGAGGAGGGGAGGAGGAGGAGGAGGAGGAAGGATAGCACGGAGAGTCGGCCAGAAACGACAATGCGGAGAAAGGGGAGAAGGAGGAGGAGGAGGAGGAGGAGGCAGAGGAGCAGGAGGAGGAGGAGGACGAGGAGGAGGAGGAGCAGGCGGAGGAGGAGGAGGAGGCGATGATGTGGAGGGGCGGAGGCGGAGGGGGACGCGGCGGAGGCGTCGGAGGGGATGAGGTGGAGTTGACGGAGGAGGAACAGGAGGAGGAGGAGGCAGTGGAGGAGGAGGAGGAGGCGGAGGCTGGGGCGGAGGCGGATGCGGAGGAGGAGGAGGTTGAGGAAAGGCGGAGGTGGAGGCGGACGGGATGGAGGATGAGAAGTTGCAGGTGCAGGAGGAGGTTGAGAAGGGAGGGATGAGGGAGGGAGGAAGAGGACGGCGAGGAGAAGAATGATACGGAAATGGGGGCGGAGGAGGAGGAGGAGGAGGCGGACGAAAAGGAGGAAGAGGAGGCGCAGGAGGAGGAGGAGGAGGAGGAGGAAGAGGAGGAGGAATAGGAGGAGGCGGAGGAGGAAGAGGAGAGGGAGGAGGAAGAGGAAGAGGACGAGGAAGAGGAGAAGGAGGAGGAGGAGAAGGGGTAGGAGGAAGTGGAGGAGGAGGAGGCTGAGGAGGAGCAGTAGTAGTAGTAGTAGTAGTAGTAGTAGTAGTAGTAGTAGTAGTAGTAGTAGTAGTAGTAGTAGTAGTAGTAGTAGTAGTAGTAGTAGTGGTAGTAGTAGTCGTAAGTAGCAGTAGTAGTAGCAGGAGTAGTAGTAGTAGTAGTAGTCGTCGTCGTAGTAGTGGTCGTAGTAATAGTAGTAGTAGTAGTAG